CTGCATTCTGGGCTGTGGTGTAAAGGAGCTGTCTCTTGCCTTGCTGGGCTGGGGGAGATTCACCTGCATTAGTCCTCTTGAGAGTGGTCTGAAGTGTGGAAGACAGACTCCTTTTAAAAATAAAGGTTCCTAAAGCAGTGCTGAGGTGGTGGTGCATGTTGTGAGGGTACACACCCTCGGGAGGAGGGTGGTTTTGTTTTGCTTCTGGTGAAAAGTACCAGCCACGCTGGTACAGCCCAGCGTGGCTCACAGCTGGGTTTGGAGAGTGTGCCCAGACAGTCCATTCCCTCAGCTACTTACCATTATGAAGCCATGCAGGCAGGAGTCTGCACAGGCAGGCAGAAGTGTGTGTGCTGCAGAGAAGGCCTATCCCTGCAGTGCACAGCTGTGGCTGGGCCCAAGATAGAGTTGAGGATGGGGGATTTTTTTTCTCAAGAGCTGCAACTTGTCCATTTTTTTTGAAAACTAGCAATGGGAAGTACTTGGCTGGCCCAGCAGGAGTCTGCTGCCAGGCACTCAGTGTCAGAGCTGCTGTTGGAGAGATCCTGGTTTGTGAAACCACTGTAAAGATGCGGCAGGGCCTCCCCCAGACAAGGGCTTGGCTGCAGAAAGTCCCTGTGGTGGAAAAAGGTCTGGCAAAGAGGAAGAGGAACTGCTGCAACGGTTGCCTAGAGGCTGGCTGGCTATTGATGAGACCTCCCTTATTGGGAAGGGGGTGCTGTGGCCGTGGGATGCTGCCAGTTTCCTTCCCACACAAGGAAGCCACCTGATTCTGGCAGCTGCTGCTCACATGAGCAAGGGAGCCTGGCCTGAAAGGAGAGCTGGCAGCAGCCACTGTGGGCTGTCCCTGCCTCCTCTCCAAGCAGCTGCTGCCTCTGCCTGACACTGCTCTCACCCACCTCCCAGGGCTGCTCAGGAGGAGGAGGATGGATGGACCCAGACTCCTCTCAGAGCCGTTGCTCCAGGGACTGGGATACTGCCCTGGGGCAGCACTGAATGGGGAGCTGCTGAGAGCAAGCCCCACACCTTGGCAAAGGCTGTGCAGTAATCTGAAGGGAGATCTTCATTGCCATGGCTGGATTTGGATGCAGGTGGTCACGGTAACACAGCGAATGAGGGTCAAGCTCCCTGCCTTCCAGCACTAGCTCTGCAGAGAAGAAAAGGCATATCAGGGAAGGAGCAATGCCTGCAAAGCCAGCAAGAGGAAACTGAAGCCAGCAGCCATCCTGTGTGGGCTGATGTCCCCGAGGCACAGCAAGGGAAGAGGAAGTGGAGAACGCTATGTGGTAGGGACACCCTGAGGCTTGGGGAAAGAGCCCTGCACATATAGGCCCTAGACAGGCAGGAAGCAGTCAGAATTTGGGAGGCTGAGGGTTCAGGGTAGGGGAGAGCAAGAGACAAAACTGAGCTGAATGCTTTCCAAGAAATGCTGGAAGTCCCCAAGGACCAGAAAGGGATGCCTATGAGGAGCAGTGACCAAACCACTCTGAAGAACAAGATTCAGCTAAGTAATAGGCAAGCACAGGGCTCTCTCTGCGGTCAGATGGGTGCTGGGGGGAGATAGCAGGAGGTAAGGCTGGTGCAGCTTCAGATAACACCCAAAGGAAAAACCAGTGATTAGGAGATCTGAAGGCAAATGGAAAAAGCAATAAAGCAGATGCACGTAGCGGAGGGTGAGCTGGCTAGCCTGGCCCTCACACTCTGCTTCAGAGAGACTTGGACTGTGCAACAAAGGAAATGAGTCAAGCTGCTCACGCATATTCCCTGTGCCTGACATGGCTTTTGGGATGCTCCCTGTGCTTGCACAAAGGAGCAGCACAAAGCAACACCTGCACTCACCCCATGGCTGCAGACCAAGTCCCCCTTGCCTTATCTGTGCATGCAGCTCTCACTGTGCAGAGTATGAGACATGAGGTAGTGGGCATGGGAAGTCCCCATGCCACCCTACCTAACAGAGGGAGATGTGGGCTGCAGGTACCCCATAAACTAACTGGAAATGCAGACATACCAGGGTTGGCAGAGGGAAGTGCTTCTTCTGTTGGGGACAGCTTGGGGTGGCACCTCTTGGACAGGAGGCTCTTGGTGTGGCTTTTCCCAGGGAAGGACCTGACACCCAGCCAAGCCACAGGTGAAAAGGACTGCCCAGTGAGGGGAACGTCACCCAGCCCTGGTGATGCTGAGCAGTGGTACTGTATCAACAACCCATGGGCTGGCTGTGGGCAGAGCATGCTTGGGAACTCCAGAAAGAGCCCTCTGGTCCCAGGCACAGCCCCAGCTTGTGCCAGCAGTGGGGAATCCTCCCTGTCCCTACCCCTGTGTCCTTCACAGCGAGACTTGAGGAGTGCAGCCACATCCTGCAGTGCACACAAACATCCCATTTATTTGACACCAAAAATCACAGCCTTGGAAAGAAGCAGGCTCCCTGTAAAAATAAATAGTCACATTTTTCAAGTTAGGGGGGCCTTTCCATTTCTTCTTCCATCTGTAGGCGACAGGGGCTAATACCTTGTGGATGGCCTGGGGATCATGGAGTAGTTGAACATAGGTGGCCTGTAAAACAAAGGTCACTTACATCACCCCCAGCCACAGAAGGAAGCAAGGGACAGCCCAGGATGCACTGGGATGGCCAAGCATCATCCCACTCCTATCACCCAGTCCCACAGGAAAGAGGCTACGGGGACAGTTTCCCCAAACCCACCAGCTTGGGAGACTGGGAGCAGCAGCACCTTCAAACTTAGGAGTGTGGGAAGGTGATGAGGGAGCCCCAGAACCGTGTGTACTGCGAAGGTCCCACCTTCCAAGCCATCCCCTGGTACCAGCACCCTCCTTGTCCTGCACTCACCCTGTTCCCTATCTCACCCACCTCTCTTTGTGCCCTGTCCCCCTTCATACCACAGGATCTGCCCCCCATCCCACACAGGGACCTGGCAGTATAAATAGCTTACATCTCAAATTCTTCATTCCTGCAGGAGAGAAAAAAGAGAGGACAGTGTCAGTGGAGCAAGACTCTTGGGACAACCCAGCATCTCCTGGCAGGACAAGGTCTCCCCCAGGTCACAGAAGAACACAGAGGGTTCAGGATGCTGTGGTCCCCTCCATCCTGACTGCCTGATCTGAACACAGAGCATGGGCCCCTAGAGCCTCCCTGCTCCTTCCCTGGGCAGGCAGTGGGGCCCCACTCTCAGCAATTCAGCAACACACAGCTCCCCCATGCCAGAATTTCAGTTCCCCCAAGTTTCCCAGGCAGCTGAGCCTGTGTCTCCAGCCAGCTCAATGGGAGGCTGGGGCTGGGGAGCCTCCAGCACACTGCAGGGCCAAAATGTAGCCCTCAAGAGTTGGAAATCCAACTGGAAACTGCTCACTACCCCAAAGGGTCAGCAGTGGAGTGGCAGTGGAGCTGCTGGTCAGAGGGTCCCAGAGGGCTGGGGGGCAGCCCCGGGGCACCAGTGGCCACAGGTGTGTGAGAAAGCACTGCACCCTCGTGGCAAGGACACCATCCACACAGCACACTGCATTCTGCACAGCATGAAGCTGAGCTTCTCTTTGGGGACCCCAGCACAAAAATGGTGCCACAGCAAAACAGGTGATGGACCCCCGAGCCAGGCTGGGGCTGCAGCCCTGCCGGCTCCTTCTTCCAAGGGGAGCTGGATGCACTTTCATCTGGCCAAAGAGGAGGTTCAGGGCAGGCAGGGTCAGGCTCTTCTCCAAAACATCTCCATCTTGGGCTGAGGGGCCCAAGGCCGCCCATGTTACTTTGGGATCAGCCCCACAGGCTACCATGAGGCACATGAAGGGACAGCTGGCAATTCACGAGGGGACCCCAGACCCAGTGTAGCAATAGGAGGTGGGGCTGCTTCTCACCTGTACACGTCAGCAATGTCCATGCGGCGGTAAAACTTGGCGAGTCTGACAGACAGGATGATGCTGGGCAGCAGGAACAACGTGCACCAGCCCAGGCTGAACCAGAAGGCATTCTGGAGTGTTGGGAGGAGAGCCATTAGGACTACACAGCAACTGGGAGAATATCTTTTTCTCTCAAAGCTCCCCAATGACCACCCACTCCTTCTCATAGCTTGCTCTTAGCCACAGCAATCTGCTAGGGAGAAGCTGAGCCCTGCTTCCTGTGCATCCCTCATCCTTCCCTGCACCCCTCATCCCATGCATGATGAAGACAAGGGAACCTCGCTGCCGCCCCACACACACATTTCACTCCACACACCGCTGCCCCGCTCACCACAGAGTCCATGATGTAGTCGCAGCCAATGACCTCCACGTTATCCAGGGTCTGAGCTACGGGTTTGCAGCGTGCCACATCTTCTGTCAGCTGGACACGTGGGTGGGGACAGGACATGTCAGCATCCACCAAAGCCTGCAGCCCATCCTCCCCTTCCCTCCACCCCACCAGGTCTCAACTCACCCTGCTCTTGGCCCATGAGATGTAGGTCTCAAAGAAATGCAATAGCTGCTCCAGGAAGGCCCGTGTCTCCTGGGGGGAGCAAGCACAGAGTGGAGATGCTGCACCACCAGCCCTCCATGCTCCATGTCTCCTCCATGTCAGGATGGGGGCTCTCAGACCAGCTCAACACAGCAGCAATGGGGCTGCATGCTTCACCCCACCCCAGCCCCTTGCTGGGCAGGAGCACCCAGGGGTGCAGGAAACCCCCAGGGAAGACAACAGGGAAGGACAAGCAGCCAGACATCACTTGGCATCCCTGTGCAGAGGGAGGTCTTGGTGTGGGAGTGCAATCACATCCCCACCGTGTGGCTCAGGAGCAGGGCAAGGCAAGCTCACATTCTTGATGATGTTAGGAGTCTCCCTCTTCAGGAACTCCTGGGTTTTGTTTGCTTCGTCCAGCGCAGTTCTTGTCTGTCCCTGGGGCGAAAGGTGCTCTCAGCAGTGTGATGGAAGTTGGGTCCCCCACATCTCCCCTACCCTGCACAGCAGCGCTCCCTGGGGGCACAGCCTCTCCGAGCCGTGGTGTTCCCAGCAGTCATACACTGGTAGTGCTCAAGTACCTCAGGTGAAGGGAGCCTGTGCCTGGCAGGGTCCATGACACGGCCGCCCTCCCTGTGCCCCGTGGCCAGCCCCTGCAGCGTGTGCCTGAGGAGTCCCACAGCAGCCACCAGCCCCTCAGACTGCAGGTTATCCCCCACCATCTCTGCTGCAGGACCTCAAGGGCGCTTTGCAGGGTGCCCTGGACTGGAGTGCACTCAGGAGGTCCTCTTGTGCAGCCTACCTCAAGCTGGGCAGCCCCGCTCTGCACTGAGTGGATGTTCTTCTTCAGGCTTTGCTGGGGACCAAGAGAGAGAGAGGTCAGAGGTGTGGACCCCACAACTCAGACAAGACTGTGCCAGCAGGCTCCAAGCTCTAGGAAAGCCCAAGCCAGCACCCCCAGGACCTCCCCCAGCATCGCTCACCAGTGGTCCAGAGAAGTTTGCCTGCATCCCCTTGTCCAGCTTCCTCAGTTCGAGAGCTATGTCTTCCAGTTCCATTTTCACATCTACGTCCTGGAGAAACTACAGTCAGCAGCGCTCCTGGCACAAGGTCCAGGCCCCACCATAGCCAGCTGATGGGCCTGGCTTGGGAAAAGAGCTGAACGAGGGTGAAGGGCACCGCCTCCTCTCAACACCCAGGCAGGGACAGAGGAGCCCCGCAGCCAGTGGCTTTGAGGACAGGGTGACCATGACCCTGGAGTGCCATGGTCTCTCACCGTTTTTTCTGCCAGCTGCTCCAACTCTGTGGCCAGATCCGGGAGGCTTCCCTGGGTTATGTTCTGTTCCAGCTGGAAAAGACAGAGACAAAGCCATGAGAATGGGGAATGGGGCTCCTGAGGGGAGCCGTAAGCCAGCTCTGGGGCAGAGTGGAGCCAGGACCTTCTGGGTGGAGGATGTGCTTGGTTGCCAAATGGAGTGACATCAATGAGAGCCTGCAGTAGGATTGCCACAGCAGCAAAGCATAGGTGGCAGTGGACACCCTCAACCCACATCCGAACTCCCCCATCCCAACACCAGGCTGCCCTCAGCTCACCTGCTCCAGGGTGAGGGTGAAGTTGGGGGGCTGCCCAGCCTGACTGGCATTCAGCAGCATATCTTCCTGTGTCTGGGTGAGCAGGGAGATGGGGCTCAGGGTGATGTTCACCTCCTCAAAAGCTGCGGAGATCTCTCCTGTGTACTGCCAGAGCAAAGGGGGCCGTATGGAGCATGTGCTGGCCCCTCACTGTCCCCTCAGCCCTGTGCCCCCATCCCTGCCTTCCAGACTTGGCACCCCCAGGCTCACCTGGCTGATGTTCAAGAGCTCATCCAGGGACACGCTCTGGTCCAAGTGCAGACTTTTCCACAGAGAAGCATCTTCCTGGCACTGCCTGCAGGATGGGGGCAAGGGCTGAAAACAGGGCAGGCAAAGGCTACCCCCTCCCAGGAGTATGTTCTCACCTGTACAGGGTAGGTCACACCTTGCTCCTTCCCTGGCATCAGTGCCCACCCACAGCCACAACAGGTAGGGCAAGCTGCCCCCCTCCTGGAGAGCATCTGAGGGCATTGAACAGCTGTACCCCTCCCCAAAGACACAGTGCCAGGGCTGGGACTCACCTGTATATCTCTGAGAAGTTTGTTGCGTCACCCTCCTGGCCCAGCAGCTCTGAGAGGTTGAAGCCAGGGATCAGGCCTGGAGTGTCCAGGAGCTAAGAGCAAGGGAAGAGATAGAGAAACTAGACACAGTGCAGGGCAGGACACCTCAGAAGGACATCCAAATGACCAGTGCTGCCACCACTCCACCAGCAGCCCTCAGAAAGGCAGCAGTGTCTCCATGCAGGAGTGTCTCCCTACAGGGAGCTCACCTGGAAGAGCTGCTGGTTGCGCCAGGACTCACAGAATAACATGTAGACATTCCCCCCCAGCAAGAAGATGATCATCACCAGCAGCATCAGCAGCCAGGAGAAGATGAAGCTGAAGCCGACCCCTCTGCCGGGACAGAAATGCCATCAGCACCTGTGGCCCCGTGCCCCAGTGCTGATGCTGGCATTGCCCCCAGCTCACAGAGCCCAGGGACTGCTCAACCCTTGCCCCCCACAATTCCAGGAACACCTTCATTCCTCCAAGCATGTCTGCATTCTGCCTTCAGCCCCCAGAGTACAACCTGGAGCTTGGATTCCAGAATAGCTTCCCACAGCTTTGCGAGCCAGCACTCCCCTGCAGAGTGTAGGACCGCACACACGCTGCCAGCCCCCACCAGCACGGGGCAAATGGGCTCCCCTCGAACGCCTCTCACCAGCACCATGTTTTACCTTCACATTTACCACTGCATGGGGATTTGCCATGGGGCAGGCCATTACTGTGATGGGACTGCAGTAACATGATGGTTTAGGAGCTTGAGCATTCCCAGCCCAGCCCTGCCCACCCAACCCCCCACTCCCACACACATCCTCAGCAACAAAGGGAGCCTCACGCCATGAAGAAGTTCCCGCCAGCATTGGAGAGGCCACTGCGCTTTGTGGGCAGCACATCTTCCTTCAGCCCCAGGGGCCCCAGGAGCAGCCCAAAAACGTTGCAGAGGACCACCAGCAGTACTGTGTAGCACAGGAGGGCACACACAATCAACCTGGGGCAAAACAAAGAGCAAGAGTCAGGCAGAAGGACCTGAGACCCTGAACAGCACCCAACAGCCCACTGGCTGCCTTCCTGGAGAGGAAAAAGGCCCCAGGCATTCCAGCAGCAAAGGGGCACAGGTGGCTGCAAGGTACAGTTCTGACTACCCTGCACTCACAGCTCCATCACCCACCAAGCTCCTACATCTAGCAGCTGGAGGATCAGTAACCTGAGCCTCTCTGGACAACAAGGCTGGGGATGCAGCTGCCCCTCCCCTACCTGAGCCCATCCCAGGTGATGATCAGCCCCCTGTACTCCTCCAGCATCAACATGGCATCGCCCACAAAGGCCCCGACTTTCTCCTCCACATCCTGGAAAGGCAACTGTTCCTGCAAGCTTCTGATCTCCTGCCTGATGAAGCCCAGCTGCTCCTGTGTTTCTGCAGGGGACAGGAACAGGTCGGCATTGCAAGGTGCTGCCCAGGTCCTGCAGGGCAGCGGGGACCAGGAGAGGATGGGAAAGGGGCAATCATGGCCAAAGAAGGCATCGTCACAACGGCACTTGGGGACAGCCAGGGTTGCAAGCAGATGGTTGGCAGCAGGTGAAGTCCACCAGGCAGGGGTGGGTTGAGAAGGGAGGAGGGAGCCTTGGGAGAGGAGAAGTTGGCACACTGCGCGCAAAGCCCTGCTTACTTGCCACCACATCCTGGGACTGCTCTTGCACCTTGTCTGGGATTGTGTTCAGTGTTTCGTTAACCTGCAGCAGGGGAGCACAGCATACAGCTCACATCCTTGCCCTCAACCCAGGGCTGAGCAGCACGTCCTCTTGGCCTCAGATCCCGGTGCACAGGATAGCCAGGACCCCCAGAGCACCTAGTCCACCTCACCAGTGCAGAGGGGTGGTGGGGACAGCGAGCAGACCTCTAGCCAGCCCTTCCCTCCATGTCACAGCAATGAACTCCCCAGATAGGGCTTTTCCCAAGCCACCCCTGTCAGCACAACCCCAGCAGTGCTGGGAGCACCCAGCTCAGAGCCTGTCTCTAAGGGTCACCCATTACCTTCTCTAAATCAGTCGCTATGCTGGAGCTAGAAACATGACGCAGTGCCTCCAGCTGCTGCTGCACACTGGGGATCTGCGGGAAAGAGCCTGGGGTGAGAGGGTCGCAGGGGGATGGGGAAGGGGCTGTGGGGCCCCTCACCCCACACCCTGCCCCTCCTCACCATGCTGAAGTTGGCGGTGAAGGCGAGGCCATTGTCGGACACATTGTTGCAGGGGGGGCCGCAGCGCTGCAGAGTCTGCTTGAGTTTGTCCCGCAGGTGGCTCAGCTGCTGCCCGAACGTGCTCTGCAGCTCCTCGAGGTCCGAGTGACCGATGCTGATGTTGTAGAAGGTGGCCTCCAGCATCTCCATCCCTGGGGAGACAGCAGGGGGCTCAGGGCCTTATCCTGCCAGTGTGGCAGGGACTTATTCTCACCAAGCTGAACCTCAGGGACCCATAAAAAAATGCAACATAGGGGCACCCCCAAAGTCCCAGCACTTGCCCCAGGGTGCAGCTGGGAGGCCAGATGGACCTCATGCCCTGGGAGCCTCACCCAAACATGCACCTACCCCAGCTCTCAGCCCCGGTATCCCCAAGTCTCCTGTCAGCCTCCCAGGGGTGGGACCATTACCTTGCAAGAGGCTCTGGAGAGATCCCAGAGCCCCATCTGTGCTGCTCCTGATGCGTGAGGTGATCATGGTGCCCAGGTTGGGCCCGATGTCTGCAGAGATGAGAGAGGTGATGTCACTGACAGGACCCTCACATGCAGGAAAGCTGGTGAAAACACTGATACCCCCCAGCACCCCAGCCCTCACCCATCTCTTAGGTGGGGGTCAGAAGGGATGCCCCCATCCTGCCACCACCTGCATTACCCTTCCCAGAAAGGAGCCTGAATGGGGAAAAGCAGGGGCTGGAGCAGAGCTGAAGCCTGGAGGAGCCCCCAGACTCAATCCCTTTGGACACCCCCATAAGAACCAACCCAGTGGCCCCCAGGGTCAGAAACCATCCATAGGGCAGCAAGGCAAACTCACACAATACACTCACTACCCAAACACCCCCAGCCCTGGATCAGCTCACCACAGAAACACCCCCAGCCCTGGATCAACTCACCACAGGAGCACCCCCAGCCCCACCCACCACACACACTCACCCTGGAGGCTGCTGTTGACATGGCCCAGCGGGATGTCGCTGTTGTCAATGATAAAATCAACTTGCTGTAGGGACACAGATGTGGTGTCAGTGCGGGTGGGGACCCTTTCCTCACTCCAGCCCTATTGCTGCACTTCCCCAGGGGGCTATTTGGGCTGCTTCCCACACCTGGTCCCTTGCCCCCCATCAGGCACCCCAGCCGTGGCAGGAGGACCAGGCATACCTGGGGAACTGAGGCCAGGTAGGTGTGGAAGTTGTCCAGAGTGTTGTTCACATTGGGGAAGGTGCTGTTCACAGCCTGGGAGAAGCGGGCGTTGCTGATTAAGGCACAGACACCACCGGCCCTACAAGGGAAGGGCGGCAGGGTCAGCACACGGGAAACTTAATCCTGATGCTCCCCCCCCCTCCAGTACCTTCCAAATCCACCCACACCGACCCCAGCCTGCAGGGTCTGGAGCGTGCCAGTGAACGCCCGCTTCCAGTGCATCCCAGCAAGTGCCCTGCACGCAGCTAAGGGATCAGAGAAGAGGCACACGGGAAACTAAGGCACAGGGGAGCCCAGTAACCAGTGCACCTCCAGTTCCCCGTGGCGAAGCTGTCGGGAAAGATTTGTGCCCTGCCAATGCGCAGCCCCCCGGGGCCAGCTTCCCACCGCCGCCGCTTCCTCTCCTTTGTCCCGCCGTGCCGGGATCTACTCGTGTGAACAATGGCAGTTTCCTGGCACGGCCGCCAAGCGCCGGCGTTTCCACCCACCCCTGGGTCCCATCCGGAGCGTCCCGGCCAGAGCACTCACAGGAGGAAAGCGGAGACCAGCAGGACGGAGGCCCAGAGCGCCCGGCGCCGGCAGCCCATCCCCGGCTTCTGCTTCTGGTACATGCGGCCCCCGCAGTTCCCGCAGCAGCGGCAGCAGCAGAAGCAGCATCCCACCAGCGGCACGAAGATGATGAAGAAAACTCCAATGGCCGCACAGACCAGAAAACCCAGCTCGTAGAGCAGCAGCTGGGATAAGAATGAGATACAGCATAACACTGGTGCCCCTGAAGACTCCTCAGTTCTGAGGGTCCTGTCCAAACCCACACAGGGCTGAATGGGTCCCCTCAGGGGGCTGAATATCTCCCCTTGCTGCTGCCCGGCATCTAGGGCTCAGCCTCAGAGCAGCACCTACTGGCACCCCCCAGTCTGTGGTGGTCCGGGGCTGCCAGACCTCTGCCCTGGCTGCCTGCTCACCTCCTTGAGATCCTCCTGGTTGAACTCGATCTGGGACTGCCCAAAATCAATCATTTCTGGGGAATAAGAAGCAGACAGGGCTGTGAGCAGGTGCTAGGCCCTGGGAGAGCCTCTTCAGGTGGGCCCCACACCCTGCTCATCTCAGAGATGGTCCCAGGCATCACCTGTGGCTCAGACCAGCTGTGCGTGCCTGGCGTGTTTCTCCCCTCCAGCTGCCCTCCCCAGCCCACATGCTGCACAGCATTTTTGCATCAGGGAAAAGTGCTGCCAGCCCCCAGACTCTCAGGGTTCCACAGAACAAGGGCCTCACCCCACTGGGCATTAGGGGCACTGCCCGGGGGCTGTCCTCCTGCAACCCAGCCCCAAACAAATGCCCGAGGGCACTGCCTACATGGAATGAGTGCTGGGGCAAAGTCCCCCTGACGTGCTGTCTCTTTCATCCCCGGGGCTTGCCCTGCCCATGCCCCATGGACTCATTACAAGCCATGATGAAACAGGGTGCCATTTATTGTACCCTGGTATCTGTGTGACATGAACAGGGCCACAAAGCCATTGAGGAGTTTGTCAGCCACACCTTTGTCTGCCAGTTGACAGTGAGCAAGGGCTGAGCCAAGGGAAGGAGGAAGCACAAGTGCCAGCAGCCAGTGGCATTTCCCTCCAGGTGGGCAGCACTCACCCCACAGGCATCAAGCAGCTGCAGGGTCCTGGTATCATCTGTACAGACCTGCAGCCACTTCAGGGCAGAGCTGTGCCAGCGACACATCCCTGTCCCCTCAGATGTGGAGGAGCAAGAGCAAGCTCTGGCAAGCTGGGCAGCATGCAGGGAGTGCCCGCAGAGCTGCTGTGCGGGCACTGGCACTGGGACTGGGATACGCTGCTCTTGGTGGCCAGCAAGTGGCTGCAAGTCAGACAAGAACCCTGAAGGCAGAGCTGGGTTTCCTCTGCACTTTTGTTGGGGCCTAGGATTAAAATACCTGGAAGAAGGATAGGGCAGGAGTCTGCAAGGGGGCACTACCACCAATGCCCGTCTTGGGGTCCAGCTGAGACAGCCCCAGTGACAGTTGTGATGGGATATGGGCAGGGCACAGATAGCAATCCTCAGGAACCCCACTCTGATTCCCCCAGCCATACTCTTCCTTACCCAGTACCCTGGTGTTAAAATGCTGAATGGACAGTCACCAGCGCAGGAAAGCTCAGGCTCAGCTGGCAGCTCAAAGCAGCCCCCCCACCCCCTTGCCAGGCCCCGCTACCGTGCACCCACCTACGGGCAGGGGATTGGGCTGCACCAGCCTCAGGAAACCGTGTGCCATTGCCACCAGCCCCGGTGTGTTGCTCTCCGGTGCCTCAAGGCCAGGGCCGTAGGCAGGCTGTGAGATGTTCCCCAACTCCATCGCAGCAGCTCCGGTGGACACCTGGGCACAGAGAGCAGCTGTCAGCGTCCTCGGGGCACAGGACCACCCGGCCTGCCCTGCCTCCAACCAGGAAATAGAGAGAAAAATCAGGCACCTGCCGGCTCCTGCCCGGAAGGAACAAGCTGGGGGAGAGCACCAAGTAGGGATGGGGAGTCCCGGGAACAGGGGGGTGGGAAGCCAGGTAGGAGGTGCCCACGAGGGACCAGGGGTGCTGTGGGGAATGAAGCGGAGCACTCACCCTGTCCTCTGGCACCCCTGCGCGTCCACAGCTGCTGCGGGGCCCAGCCACACAGTGCCAGCGCCCAGATTTGTGATTTGTTTAAGTTTCAGCGGTGATTGCTGACAAGGTGTTTGCCGGGAAAGGCGGCTATGCCGTGATCGCCCCACCCTGTCCCCTATACCTCTTGGCACCTGGCCACCTCAGGCGCCTCTCCGTAGCGAGTCACCACCGATATGTCCCGACCCAGGCACTGGAGAGAGCCTGTCTCCTCACTCTGCAGAGCTCCTGTGCTCCTGCTGGTTTCCTCCTGCCCCGACCCAGGAGCTAGGTGGCCCAGGGTGATCCATCCCCACACCACCTGCATCCTTTCGGGATGGGATGCATTAAGTCGGCCACAGTTTCGGCACAAACCAGCTCTAGCCACAGAACCAGGTTTTGCAACTAAAAACCTTCTGAAACTGGGCACTGCGGCAAACTCGGCGTTTTCCACACGGGCCCTGGTCCCCCCAAGCGGGGGACAAGTTTCGGGGGCCTTCTGACGGGATTCTTCCTCCAAGACTGGGCGCCTGCCCGGCTCCATCCACGCTCCCCGCAGAGCTTTCCCACGCTGCGGGGGCCACTCGTGACTCTACCCCTTCCCCCGCCCCGTGGTCCTCAACCTCCGCTCCGCCGCCGGGACTCCGGGGACCGCAGCCGGGGGGCAGGAGGGGGAGGGGTCGGGGGTCGCTGCCGGTTGTGCCGCGGACGCACCAGGTGGGCGCGGGGCAGGTGCCCCGGAGGTCGCGTCCCGGCGGGCGGCGGCGGGCGGAGGTCCCCGGCTCGGTACAGCTCGGTACAGTTCCGCGCCGAGCGCAGCGCCGGCGGCTCCGGCAAGGGCGAGCAGGGCTGGACAGAGCCGCCCCTTCCGCCCTGGCCCCCCGGGGTCTGTCCGGGGCGTGCAGCCGCCTCGGGCCCCCCTCCTCTGCCGGGAAGGGGCCTCCCGCCCCGCCCCGTCGCGCCGCACCTTGGCACCCCTCCTGCACCCTGCTCCTAGCCCCATCCCACCCTGACATCCTGCATCTGCCCGGGAGACCCCCCTCCCTTGTGTTGTCCCATCTGGGAGAGGCCGCTGTCCTCAGGCCCTAAGGCCGTGCCCAGGTGATGCTCCCTCCTTGCCCAAGAGGCCCAGCCCTCATCTCACACTGTCAGGCCCAGTGCTGGCCCCTCTGGCAGCCCACCCTGCCACAGCCCCCTTGACCAGAGCTGCTCCCCCTGCTGCCCAGCTTTTCCCTATGCCATCCCTCAGCTGTGCCGGCACCCTCACCTCCCGCCCCCGATCAGCTGGAGTCCCCAGCATGGTCTTTGGCCCCTGCCTCGTGTCCCTGCGTGGGGCACCATGAGCTTTTGGACAGTTCACCAACGGGTGAACTGTGCCCCAACGTCCTTTGCATAGTCAGTTTCCCGGTCCCTCCAGCGCCTGCTGTCATCTCCCAGTTACTGCTTAACTTGGCTCGAGCAGGCATCGCTGCACTTCGTGACCTGGGGCAAAAGTGACACTGGGACGGGGACAGCCCTGCTTCAGAGTTTCTTCCTGGTCTGGCCCATGCCGGGTGCTGGGGTACCACCTGGAATCCTCTGGCTCAGTATTGGCACAGGGGCAGGGCAGCAGAGGACACAGATGCATCCTGCCAAAAAAGCTAAAAAGCAGGAACTAGCTAGTTTCTCACAGGGTCTGATGTGAGAGGGAGGTTTGGGGCTTCACAGGTAGTCTTGGGCTTTCCAGCTCAGACCTCAACTCTGAAGTGTTTCCTTCGGGCCCTCCACCAGCTCCCGGGTGCACGTGCAGCATCCAGCCAGGCTGGATCTGCAGGATCCTTCACAGATGGCAGGAACTGCTTCTGCAGAACATCGGTCTCTTCCAGCCCAGGGCACCCCGCTGAGGCTGCCAGAGCTCAGTGCACATCAGGAGCAAGGGTGTTGACAATCTCAACTCTGGGTGCCACCACACCATGGGCTGATTGGGGACACCCTGCACCCACCTACCCAGCCATGAGCTCCCACTACAGCACTTGTATCCTGCAGCCCTGCTGACCTCAGTCCCTCAGGGTAAGGGTGGCAAGGTAGTATCCCTCACCGCAGATGTAAATCCAAGCCCAGCCCCTGCTCCGAGGACACGAGCCCATCCTGCCCTCACCCTCCACTGTATCAGCCCTGTTTTAAGAGCCCGTTTTCCCCCACATCCCTTTTTTCCCTATCCATTACTGTCACATCTGCCCTCATCCCACCACTAATCACAGCCACAGGCTCCTTGCCCTACACGTTTGGCCAGAGTGGGGTGTGTGCATTGGATGAGGCAGCCACAGTTTAAGAGCCATTTCCCAGTTGTCCTGTACCTCGTGCTTGCTGAGATTTCTGCTTTCCATGGTGTGGCAGGGAGCTGGCCATGGTCTGGCTGGGAACCAGCAGCCTGAGGTGAGCCAGCATCATCCTGGGAGCAGCAAGCCCTGTGCATGCACCCCCTGCCAGGGCGCCAGGGGCATGAGGTTCTGCCCTCTCTGCCTTGCCCATATTGGCCTGGTTCCACGCTCAGAAATAAGTGCTCAGGACAGCCTCAAACCGAAAAGTCATTTTATTGGTACCATACATGACTCATAAATGGCACAAACTATGGAGGGGAGGAAGAAAAAAATAAAATAAAATAAAAAAAAAAAAAAAAAAAAAAAAAAAAAAA